ACTCGTGTGCAGCGCCGGCCTTCATCGGCGCTCGCGAACAGCACTTGCCCCTACAGTCTGTTAAGGCTACACGGGGGATCTTTGTCTTTGTAGAGTAGTGTTTGCATCGGCGGCGCGGTGGTTAGCGCACTGCGCTGCGAACCCAGCGACCCGAGTTAAATTCCCGCTCACGGTCACCAACACCAGTGACGATTATCTGAACCCCTCCTGGACCTCTCCATAGGTCGACTCGGTCTCAAATGAGAACCTGGTGCGGTGTGGCACTTGCCCCAACAGGCCACAATGTCTCGTCGAGCACACGGTGTACTCCGCTTCTATAATGTACATTTCTGCGATTGAAACGTTAGACGCACCTGTATATGCTAAATATCACCTTGTGGCGGCTTCTTGGCCCAGCAGAGTGTTGTGCCTGGGTTAGGTGCGTATTTGCTGAGGCCGGGGGCAGATAGAGAGCTACTTCTGAGATTCCTTTCAAGTGAGAGCTCTGGGTTCACACAGTAAGTAGGCAACACAACTCCTACCCCCGCCCAGTTACGAGAGTCACGTTCGTGGCACGACAGCCAAAACCAAAAGGTTCGAATTTTCTCGGAGCTGTAATTCGGGCAAATTAAATACAACATTTAATGCTTTTATTGTGCAGCCATTGGAGACCAGGCTGAGACCATCAACTCACCGTACTTGAGAACCCGGTTTAATGTACCGTATGTTGAACTTCTTTCGCAGTGTGCGTACGTACGTAGCCAACCGTGCTAATCGGAGGTGCGGGGACAACCCAGGATGAAGCTGCAACACGGTGATTTTTAAACCCAGGAAGCAGCTGCAACACGGTGTTTTTTAAACCCAGGATGAAGCTGCAACACGGTGTTTTTTAAACCCAGGACGCAGCTGCAACACGGTGTTTTTTAAACCCAGGACGCAGCTGCAACACGGTGTTTTTTAAACCCAGGATGAAGCTGCAACACGGTGATTTTTAAACCCAGGACGCAGTTGCAACACGGTGTTTTTAAACCCAGGATGAAGCTGCAACACGGTGTTTTTTAAACCAAGGATGAAGCTGCAACTCGGCGATTTTTAAACCCAGGATGAAGCTGCAACACGATGATTTTTAAACCCAGGACGAGGCTGCAACACGGTGATTTTTAAACCCAGGAAGCAGCTGCAACACGGTGTTTTTTAAACCCAGGATGAAGCTGCAACACGGTGTTTTTTAAACCCAGGATGAAGCTGCAACACGGTGTTTTTGTAAACCCAGGATGAAGCTGCAACACGGTGTTTTTTAAACCCAGGATGAAGCTGCAACACGGTGTTTTTTAAACCCAGGATGAAGCTGCAACACGGTGTTTTTGTAAACCCAGGATGAAGCTGCAACACAGTGATTTTTAAACCCAGGATGAAGCTGCAACACGGTGTTTTTTAAACCCAGGATGAAGCTGCAACACGGTGTTTTTTAAACCCAGGATGAAGCTGCAACACGGTGTTTTTTAAACCCAGGATGAAGCTGCAACACGGTTTTTTTTTTAAACCCAGGACGCAGCTGCAACACGGTGTTTTGTAAACCCAGGATGAAGCTGCAACACGGTGTTTTTGTAAACCCAGGATGAAGCTGCAACACGGTGTTTTTTAAACCCAGGATGAAGCTGCAACACGGTGTTTTTTAAACCCAGGACGCAGCTGCAACACGGTGTTTTTTAAACCCAGGATGCAGCTGCAACACGGTGATTTTTAAACCCAGGATGAAGCTGCAACACGGTGATTTTTAAACCCAGGAAGCAGCTGCAACACAGTGTTTTTTAAACCCAGGAAGCTGCAACACGGTGATTTTTAAACCCAGGAAGCTGCAACACGGTGTTTTTTAAACCCAGGATGAAGCTGCAACACGGTGTTTTTTAAACCAAGGATGAAGCTGCAACTCGGCGATTTTTAAACCCTGGATGAAGCTGCAACACGATGATTTTTAAACCCAGGACGAGGCTGCAACACGGTGATTTTTAAACCCAGGATGAAGCTGCAACACGATGATTTTTAAACCCAGGACGAGGCTGCAACACGGTGATTTTTAAACCCAGGATGAAGCTGCAACACGGTGTGTTTTAAACCCAGGACGCAGCTGCAACTCGATGTTTTGTAAACCCAGGACGCAGCTGCAACACGGCGATTTTTAAACCCAGGATGAAGCTGCAACACGGTGTTTTTTAAACCCAGGAAGCAGCTGCAACACAGTGTTTTTTAAACCCAGGATGAAGCTGCAACACAGTGATTTTTAAACCCAGGATGCAGCTGCAACACGGTGTTTTTTAAACCCAGGATGAAGCTGCAACACAGTGATTTTTAAACCCAGGATGAAGCTGCAACACGATGATTTTTAAACCCAGGACGAGGCTGCAACACGGTGATTTTTAAACCCAGGACGCAGCTGAAACACGGTGATTTTTAAACCCAGGATGAAGCTGCAACACGGTGTTTTTTAAACCCAGGATGAAGCTGCAACATGGTGTTTTTTAAACCCAGGATGAAGCTGCAACACGGTGTTTTTTAAACCCAGGATGAAGCTGCAACACAGTGATTTTTAAACCCAGGATGAAGCTGCAACACGATGATTTTTAAACCCAGGACGAGGCTGCAACACGGTGATTTTTAAACCCAGGACGCAGCTGAAACACGGTGTTTTGTAAACGCAGGATGAAGCTGCAACACGGTGATTTTTAAACCCAGGAAGCAGCTGCAACACGGTGTTTTTTTAAACCCAGGATGAAGCTGCAACACGGTGTTTTTTAAACCAAGGATGAAGCTGTAACACGGTGATTTTTAAACCCAGGATGAAGCTGCAACACGGTGTTTTTTAAACCCAGGATGAAGCTGCAACACGGTGATTTTTAAACCCAGGATGAAGCTGCAACACGGTGATTTTTAAACCCAGGATGAAGCTGCAACACGGTGATTTTTAAACCCAGGATGAAGCTGCAACACGATGATTTTTAAACCCAGGACGAGGCTGCAACACGGTGTTTTTTAAACCCAGGAAGCAGCTGAAACACGGTGTTTTGTAAACGCAGGATGAAGCTGGAACCCGGTGTTTTTTAAACCCAGGACTGTCAGCAGCTTCAGCGCAGCCCTCTGACCTCTGACCTACCTGGTCACTTCTGACAGTTTAATAGGAACCCAAAATAGAACAGAATAATATTTAGCGTATACAGGCGCGCCTAACTTTTCAATTGCAGAATTGTACGTTCTATAAGCTATGTATTTAAAAAAAAAACTGAAACAAATTACGAATCGTGCCGCAGCACGACATCGTGCGCACCCCAACGTCACGACGTTGGCCCGCCGGAAAAAACCGTAGTCGAGGAAGCAACTGCCCGAACGAAACGAGACGCTCTCGCTCGGGTGACTGGCTTCGCCAGCTTGTTTATTTATAATAATCATCATAATAATAAAAGTAGTCCTCTTGGCGACATCGCGGCAACGCCCCGCACGACGTTGCACACCTTTGTGCATTTTGCCGACGGAATCTGCGGCGGAAGCGGCAGAGAGACGTTTTGCTGCCAGCGTTTTGCAGTCTGTTCTTCATTAAAAAATAAACTCCACATGTAAGCCGCGGGTTTGTGATAGGGCGGGGTGGCGGGGTTAAGGGGCTAGCAGAAGGTGCAAAACAAAATACTAAACAGACGGATTTTAATTTTCGTGGACGTGCACCCAAGCCGATTCTTTCGCAACTTTTCGCCGTCCACCGTGGCGAAGTATGGCGTGGGGGGAGGAGGGGGGGGGTGGGGGAGACCTTCATCCAGCAGTGGATTGACGACAAAGTGGGCAGTAAATTACGTCGGCTGCATGTCATACTGTCCCGACAATCTGAAACTTTCCTGGATGAGCAAAAAAAAACCTTTTAAATAATGGGGGGGAGGGGTGTCAGACTCTAGCTTGGCACAGCAGCGACCGCACTATCTTGACAGCATTTAAAAACTTACGCATGACGTCACTGGAGCATCACAATGACACGCCTGATTGTGACGTAGGGGGCGGCGGTCACGCTGCCCGGCAGGGACGGTCTTGCGATTCTAGCCCTACGGCTGCCCTGGTTAATACCCGATGCGGGCGCGTCAACCGTACAATACTACGCGTCGTCCGCTTTGCAGCGAATTGTCGAGGATCCTGGGACGTAGTTCAAAAGAGTATTATGCATGTTGAACTTCTTTCGCGCCGTACGTAGCCGACCAGTAATATCGGAAGGAGTAAGTAGTCCGTTGCGTGCCGACATCGCGGTCTAAATTTGAAAAATTACCCTCGCGCAAGTTGTCCTGATGGCGTAAAACGGCAGAGCAACATCGCCGCCCCCTCCCCCGTAGGCCGAATTTAATCGGACCTCCGATTAGCACGCTTGGCTACATACGGTGCGAAAGAAAAAAACATACAAAACTACCGGATGACGAAAACCGTCTGTGAAACAAATCCCCTTCGTGCTACCCTTTGCGTGGTAAGAATGGCGCGCATGCCAACACGTACGAACGATCCGAGTTGAATTAAATGCCCCTTGTCCGTGAGATCGGCAGTCCACCAGCATTGAATTCTTCAGCAAGCCGATGGGACATTATTTGTATGTCAAAACCGGTGTCGTGTTTTGCTCATCTTGAAGTCTCGCGGAAGACCGCACGTCTGATGGCACGAGTAATAAATACCGTAGATTATTTTTTTTAAACGTGGAGAGGCGGACACGTGAAGGAGATGTCTTGTCCGCTTATTCTTTTCGATTTGATTCAAAGTCTTTGTTTTTCCTCTTCAAACTGCTGTTGAGCTACTTGGGACACGGCCCAGTAGGGGTGTACCCCACCCCGGCGAGATGTTAACTACCTCGCCTGGTATACGTGGGTTCGATCCAGAACCCTGGCTCCTGTATATTTGGAGTTTGCATGTCTCTTTCCCCGTGGTAGCATGGATTTTTCTCCGGGTCCTCCAGTTTTTCCCTCCACATTTACAATCAACGTGCGTTTGGAGTATTTGGCTGCTGTAAATTTTCACGTGATTAGCCACTTTGTTGAGCTATCGTTTGTGGCCAGGTCGCTTCTGAAAAAGCGCTACATAGCTCAGCGGGCATTACTTGGTAAAATAAAAATAGTGTTTAATAATTTTAGTTTAATCTCCCCCACCTACCCCTGCCCCCACTGCCATCACCCCAGAAAATTGATGAACTGTCATTACTACTCAAGAAGGGACACTCTGTGAACACTGTACATGTCCTGTAGCAGACACGGCCATCACGAGAATCCGTCACGACATAGACTTTGAGAATCGAAGGTCATTGAAATATCGAACACATTAACCAATGCATTGCGTCGCGAGCTCGAAGCTTCGACGTTCATCAGCCATTCTCAGCATCGTTACCTCCACAACAGCTGTTATCGTTTACACGAGTTTAATTGAGTTTGTGTGTATTCCTGTACACCAGTGTTCCTCACACATTGTCAGAGAGGGGGGAGCCACTTTCGCCAATAAGACATCATCAGTGTGTGAGGACCATCACAGATTTGAAACCATTGGGGGGGGGGCTTGACAGCAGCACGATGATGATGGTGGGGGGTGGTTTTCACTTGTTGTGCGATTGTCGGGGGCCCGAACATCAGGGGCCGCACTGAAGGCCACCAGTGGCCGCACTGAAGGCCACCAGTGGCCCGCACTGAAGGCCACCAGTGGCCCGCGGGTCCTGCAGTGACGAACACTGCTGTATATTATTGCCGTTGTGCAAGTTTACGGTTGCGGTGCATCGCACTATTATACAGAAGTTCATTGCAATGGGTACGCCCCTGCTAGGAATGCGGGGTGGCACAGTGGTTAGCACACTGTGCTGTGAACTCGGCGACCCGAGTTCCCTGGCACATGGCATTTAAACCTGTCCTGAACACTCCCTTCGATTCACAAGCGTGGTGAAGTATAGTCAACAAACCCCCCCCCCCCCCATCCTTCATAACCAACACAGCATGTGGAGGGAGGGCTTCATTCAACAATGGTTTGACGAAGCCCTGTGAATATACTCGTTTCGTATCTAAAAATGTTTCTTTATCGTGTTGCGCCTTCTTTAAAAAAAAATGTAAAAAAGAGGGGGAGTCAAGGATAATGTCTCGGGCCGGGATGAAGGTTCCAACTTAGACAGGACGGCCGCTCCACTGTAAGAGGACGAGCTTGCATGGCCGCTGCGATGCATCCCGCGACCGCCCGCCCGCCCGCCCGCCCGCCATCTCTCCCCCACGTTGACACCATGCGGCGGCGGCGGCCCAGAGCCTCCCAACTAAGACAGGCCCACGAGTCAAATCCCGAGCGCCCGTCGGCTTGGGTGGGGGGGGTAAAAGCGCTGTCCTTTAAAAAAAAACTTTGGAGAAAATGACAGCGCCGCAAAGGGGTAACACGGGAATTTGGTTTTCGCGAAAAAGCGCCGGCGCACATGCCGCTGATCCACAAGAGCACAGCGGCTCCGGGCCGCCCTCCCCCCCCCCACGCCGTCGCCCTCCGGTTCGACCGTCGCTCGTCCGCGAGCACCGCGCCGGTAGGGCCGCCCCGTCACGCCTCCCTGGCGCCACCGACGACCGCTTGCTGACGGCCCTTGCCGCCGCCGCCGCCGCCGCCGGGGCCACCCCGCGCCACCGCCGACTCGGAGACGATGGTGGGGGCGATGAACGAGACGATGGCGGAGAGCGGCCGGGGAACCTTGGAGCCGCGGGGCATGGGGATGCGCGTTGGGCAGGGGCGGCACGTGCTCCCGTCCGTCTCCACCTGTGCGAGGGGGAGAGAGGTCATGAAGGGAGGCGGTTGTGGGGGGGGGGGGGGGGGGGGAGGCGGCAGAGGACATTGCCGTTATGCAACGCGACCGTCGCGGGCGGTGGTTGCGAGGCGCCGGCCGCGACGCGGGAGATCACCGTGGGCCGCGTCGTGGGAAGAAGGCGATCTCACGTTGCCGGGAGAGGGGAGAGCTGCATGCAAGGAGCATAAATCATCACGCGACCTCCGGTCATCCTTGATTTAGATCCGCGCGATGCACTTCCGCGGCCTTAGGAAGCCACTGGAGCTATGCACTTTTAGATCTAGATTGAAAACTTATTTCTTTAGAACTGCTTTTTGTATTTAGTTTGTTGTCCTTCCCCCGCACCTCCGATCACCACGGTTGGCTACGTACCGTGCGAAAGAAGTTCAACATACATACATGCAAATGCATCGTCTGCAGTGGCGGATTATTATTATTGCAGCCAATACTGGGACTTTTCCCCAGGACGGTGCCTGGGGAAATCAGGGCAGTTGAGCGACCCGAAGCGGTGGGGTGTTGACGGAGCTAAATATTCTACTTCACTCGTATCCGTTGCCACGAGAACAAGCAGCGAAGGTCACCGAAGCAAAAAGTCACGATCGCAAATTGCCCGCGGACTCGCGCTCTGCGAGGAACGCGAGTTGATGCCGCGTCGTTTGTAGTTGCAGCCTGGCACCGCGCGCAACCACAAAAACAAAACATCCCCCGCCCTTAGCTTCAACAGACTGTTGGGGTAAAGTGCTGTTCGCGAGCATCCATGAAGGCCAACGTGGCACACGAGGGGGTGGGGTGGTCAGCACCATGCCCGGCCGCCTTTGTCTCCAAAGTGGCGATGTTTACACAACACACCAGGTGCTCATTTGAGGCCGAGTGGATCTAGGGGAGGCCCAGGACCGGTTCACTGGCATTGGCCGTGAGCGGGAATCAATCAGCCGCACTACTCGCCGCACTCACTCGAGAAACCAGCTCAACCACAAACTCAGAAGCAGAGAATCCTGGGTTTGAAACTGGAACCCAGGATTCTCTGGAGCCACCCGGCACCACCGCGACACAACCCGCACAGCGAGCAGCTCCACTCACGGACGGCGTCGATGTCGGCGCACACACGTTGCCGTCCACCGGCGCACAGTCGGCAGCGCCGTCGCAGCCCTGACCAGCCGCCCGCCGCCGGTACTGAGGCCCGACCTGCAGCTGGATCCTCGTCTCCTCGGCCACGGTCGCCGCCACTTTCGCCGCCGTCGCCGCCGTCGCCGCCGCGGTCGGTGTGCCGTTAACCGGCGGCGTCGGCGGCACATCCGCCCGCCCGCCACGTGCCGAGATAGTGCGGCGCAGCGTGGAGGTGGTGGCGATGGAGATGGCGCTGGCAGCGGTGGAGACGGGCGAGGTGGCAAGCGAGCGGCTCTCGAGCGACACCACGGCGACGACGGCGGCGGCCATGTTGCCGCCCCCCCCGCCGCCGTCACCTCCCTCCATGGTGCGCGCCCTTGACCGCGGTAGCGTGGCGAAGGCGGGCGGCGACACGGGCGGAGGTGACGGGGCGCCGTTGAAAATCCTCCCGGCGCAGCTGGGCACGACGGCGAGGGAGCGCGGCCTCTCGGCGTGCGGGCGCCGCCCGGGCCGCTCCACCACGGCCTGCGGGCTGAGCGCCCGCCTCGGCGTCGACGGGGCGCTCGCCACCTCGCGCCCCGGCGGCGCCGGCGGGTGGGGCGCCGCTCCCGCCGGCGCGTGCCTCTGGACGGGCAGGGCAGGCGGGCCGCCGGCCCCCCGCAGGGAGCCTTCGCTCCGCCGGGCGGCGCCGACGCCGTGGTCCCGTGCGGTCGTCGCCGATGGGCGTTTCAGTCCGTCGGCGCCGTTCTGCGTGGCCGCGTCCGGCCGGGCGGGCCTGGCGCCGTCGCCGGGGAGGTTCGCCAGCGCCGCCTGCGCGTCGCGCTTCTCCAGGACGATCTGTAGTGGCCGCTGCAAGCTCGCTCGACTCACGTCCATCACGCTCGCCACCCTCCTCATTGCGGAGTACACGGGTCCCATGCGCTTCCCATCGCCCTTGCTGCTGCTGCTGCTGCTGGAGAGGGTCCTACTGCTGCTGCTGCTGATGATGCTACTGGTGTTGCTCCTGACAATGATGTTACTGCTTCTTGTAGCGCTGATGCTGGTGCTGTTGCTAACGACGGTGGTGCTGCTGGCGCTGTTGCTGCTAACAGTGCTGCTTGTGCCTTTACTTTTGCTGATAGTGTTGCTGGTGCTGTTCCCGTTAACCGTGCTGTTGCTGCTCCTGATTGTGCTGTTGCTGGTGCTGTTACTTTTATCCGCACTGTTGTTGCACTTGCCAGTGATGTTGTTGCTGCTGCTGCCACCCCCGCTTGTGCTGGTGCTGCTGCTGCTGATGCTGTGGTTACTGGCGGAGTTGCTGACGGCGCTACGGACACTGCCACCGACGGCCGTGCCGGTGGCGGCAGTGGCCTCGACGTCACCTCCGCCCTGCCTGAGCCATGGCGCCGGCAGCCAGGAGCGCCCCACGCCGGGCTCCAGGGACGCCATCGCCGACGCCGGCGAGGATCGCGCCACCATTTCGGCGGCCGCCGTCATCATCATCAGCCGCCTCGTCATCCAGTCCTCCTCGGCCGCCACCGTAGCGGCCTCCGAGGCCTCCTCGGGGGGTCCCTCCGGCCCCGGCTCGGCTCCCGTCTGCGCGCAGGCGTCGGAGAGCGACGCGTGTGACACGAGCTTGCGCCCGACGGGGCTGAGGAGCGGGCGCAGCATGGAGCGGCTGTAGTGGCGGTAGCACTCCAGCTCGCGGCCCAGGTCCTCGAGGTCGCTCTCGAGGTCACGCACGCGCGCCTCCGCCGCCTCGCAGCGCCGCCACAGCACGGGCCGCTCCTCCGGCCCGCCCGCCGGCCGGGCCTGCGACGCGCGGAACGTGGCCACCTCGCGGCGCAGCGACAGCACCTCCTCGGCCAGCGACGCCGCGTGCCCCTCGCGGCCTTCGACCCGATCCTGCGGCGCCAGCTGCTTCTTGTCCCGGCGCCGGTTAGTGGACGGCGTGTGGGGACCCCTCGCCTTCTCGTCCCACGCCGCCGCGGCGACCGCAGCCTCACGGTTCGACCAACCGTTGGCCAGCGGTCGCACGGGGTCGGTGCCGTCGTCGGCGCCCTCGATCGCGCCGTCGCTCCCGCCGCCGGTGCCGGTTGCACGCTCCAGCTGCTCGCGCAGCGAGGCGGCCCGGGCCGCCGCCTCTCGGGCCTTCTCCCGCTCGACGTCGAGGCTGCCGTGTGCCGCGTCGCACTCCTCCCGCGAGCGCCGCAGCGCCTCCCCGGCCTCCGCGCGCTCGTGCATCGCCCGCCGGCGCTCCTCGATCAGCCGCCCGCTGGCCTCCGATAGCCGGTCCCGCTCGGCCGTCAGCTCCGCCGCCAGCGCCTCGACGGACGCCTCGGCCAGACGCAGCCGCTCCTGGCTCACCCGCCGATCCTCGGCGAGCGCCGACGCCAGCGCCCGAGCGCGCGCCACCTCCCCGCGCAGCGCCGTCTCGGCGCCGCTCAGCGCCTCCCCGGACCTCTCCGCCTCCAGCAGCCGCCGCCTCAGCTCGGCGACATCGGCCGCCAGGGCCCGGGCGCCGTCCTGCTCCGCGTGGAGCCGCTCGGCCAGCAGCTGGCACTCGTCCCGGCTCTGCTTCAGCTCCGAAGCGCCGGTCCGCTCCAGCTCAGCGGCCCGCGCCCTCAGACGACGCTGCTCTTCCTGCAGCTCGGCCAGGAGGCCCCCTTCGGCCAACAGGCGGCCGCGGAGCTCGGCGGAGCGCTCCTCCGCCTCGCGGACCTCGCCGTCCTTCCACTCCAGCTCGACGGCCCGCTGGCGCAGGCCCTCCATCTCCTGGCTGCCGCTGAGCAGGGCCTCCTCCAGCTCCGCCTTGGCGGCGCGCAGCTCGGCGCTCTCGACCGCCAGCCGCTCCACGTCGGCGCGCAGCCGCTCCTGCTCGCACGCCCGGCGCTCGGCTTCGGCCGCCAGGGCCTCGGCCTCCCGCTGGGCCCGCGCCGCCTCCCTGCCGCGCTCCTCCGCCTCCTCGGCGCTCCGGCGAGCGCCCTCGGCCTCGGCGGACGCCCTCTCGGCCTGGCTCGCGGCCCGAGCCTGCTCTTCGCCTAGGCGCGCCGACAGCTCGGCGAGCCGCTCGGCCTGCTGCTCGAGGCGCGCCTCCTGGGCCTGGCGCTCGTCGACGAGGAGCAGCGAGAACGACTTGAGCTTGCGCAGCTCATCCTGCAGGGTGGCCGCCGCCGTCTCCTGCTGCTTCTCGCGCTCGGCGCTCGACGCCTTCTCCTGGTCCAGCAGCCGCTTCAGCCTTTGGGAGACACGCGCGACGACAGAAGACCGAAGCGTGGAAAATGTTCACGAGAAATTAGTTGTAAGTCTCAGGCGCCGTTTGTAGCAAGATTCGAAAGACCGCGAGAGACAACTGACGAGCATTAAACGTAAATACAGGTGTCTCCAAGTGAGATTGCAATGCTGTGGGCGTGGCAGCGGTTGCTAGGGATGACATCATAAAATCCATCTGCAGCAGCCAATCAGCTGCCAGGAAGACAACCCCATGCAACATGGCCGCCATGGCATCACCACCCGATGCGCTCGGGTAAATATATTTATTATGTTTATTATGGTCTTTATTAATGTTGCTATTAATGTTGCCGGTATTTATACATAATCAATACAAAAAATGTTGAATATGTTTTATCGATAGATTTTTTTCTTCCTGAGACCGCCGGCTCGAAAATAACGGGTGCAAGTGCTGTTATCGGGGTGCCTATTGCTCAAAAAGCTGTGCCGACGCGCGGTCGTGGCCACGGGCACGTGCCGCACATTAACGGCCATGTGCAAAACGACGGCTATCGCCGGGCTGCTTTGTTAATCATTTGCCGATTCCGAGCACACAAAAATAACATTTTTGAAAATCAAACGACGGCGATAACCATCGAGGGCGCGCGTGCGCGTGTGACTTGGCGACGTTAGCTGCGGAAGTGGCGGCTGGGACGGAGAAGCAAATCGTCCGTGCGTTGCCGCAACTGGAACATTTCCCTCCCCCGCGGTAATGATTGACCGGTGCCACGATGGAGCCACGTGGGATAAAAATCTAAAGTTTGTCCGTGTTCTGAATAATGTGGCTTGGCGCCACAGCGTAAGGCGCCGCACTCTCTCGCATTTTCGGGTCACGCCGCGCGTCGTTCGGCACGGTGTCCCGACGTTTCGCTCCACCGTGCTGGGAGCTTGTTCAGGAACCCGAATCGAGCGGCTTACGTTCTCCGGCCTTGATCATAAACAATTGCCAGCCGCACACCGGCGATCTTCATCCCTCAATCAGACACACGGGCGGCGTTTCCCGTTGTGCCTGCAGCTGAAGGGCGGGCGCTGTGCAATCATGAAGGAGACGGCGAGCTCCACCAAAATTCAGTCGCCGAAGAATCTCCCCGGCGCGTGGCGTGAAACATCGGATGTCACGCCGAACAACACGCGGGGGGATATCCCGGGGAGACGCGCCGGAGAGTGCGGAGTGCGGGGGCGACGTTCTCGAACCAGCCGACGAGCAACGACGCGCGGGATTGGCCACGCTCGCGAACTGCACGTCGAATTGCGTGCGCGCGAGTTCATTATTTGCCCTGCGTGCAAATTACACGCAGCAGGCAGAGCAATGAACAAACCACGGATCTCCCTTGCAAACTAGCTGGGTAACTGGCTGCTCGCTCCTTCCATCTCTCTTGTCTCTCTCCGAACTCCTTCCCCCCCATCGTCCTCCTCCTCCTGCCCATCCTCCTCCTCCTGTACCACCGCTCCTTTCTCTGTTCCCGCTGCTCATCTTGAGCCGTACCGCCCTCTTTGTCCGTCCACGAAACTCCCGCCCCTTTCCTGTCCTTTAAATGTATCCAAACATTACATCCTGGAGTCTACTCCCCTTCCCGTTGTGTGTCCGTCGGTAAATTTTAGTTTATATTAGTGGGATAGTGCTGCCACCTACTGTGTGCGCCAGAGATCACCAGTAGGGATCTCTCAAAGATAGCCTCGTGGGTATCTCTGCTTCCGTGGAAGCCCATGTCAAGGACGAAGGGTTTCACTGCCGTGAGATCTGAACTGATTGTTCGTCTCATGCCGCGATGCGCAATTAGTGTAAATTAATTTGAGGAATATGCAGAAAAATACGTCGGCAGATGTGGCCTACAAAGTTATGATTAAGTAAGCAGCAAGGCAGTGCTCATTTTCTCTTTACAGCCCTGGACCAGTGGTAGAAATTACACATCCCTATGGCGGGGACGAGTGTATCCGTCCAGTGTCGGTTGAATGTATTCGGTGCTCGTGACGTGCAAATGCAATAACAATTTGGTAATTTTTCAACTCCTGAATTAAACAGGAATCCCGCCTGCTAGTAGGGGTCACGCCGGCCAGGGGTCTGTGACGGGCAAGCGATTGGGAACGACCGCGAGAGACGCCGGTAATGGCGGTTTGACAGGCAGGAGCGGTGGGCGAAACGCTCACCCGCCTCACGGGGCCACCCACGGGCGGCGGGGGACCCACGGGCGTCAGCGACCCACCTCTCCCGCTCGAGCTCCAGCAGGTTGGTGAAATCGTCGCTCTGCGCCATGTATTGTTCGTGCTTGTGCCGCTCCGCCTCCAGCTGCCGCGCCGAGCGCCGCTCGCTGCTCTGCGCCAGCAGCAGCTGCCGGAGGGCGCGGGCGTGCGTCTCCCGCTGGCGCGCGATCACGCGATCCAGCTGTGGGGGGAGACGCAACGGGCATTTTTATGGCCGGCAACTCCAGGGTCTCGGAAATTGATGGCCCCAAAAAATATATATATGCACAGTATACGATAACGCTGGTTAAGACAATCACGTACTCGGATTGTAAATGTTGTGGATTTGCTCTCCAACACACCGGCGTGCTGTACTAGTAACGAATTGGCACGTTCTGTTTACGTGACAAACCTTACTGATTTGCTGTGTGGTGGCGGGTTTAACGACACATTTATATTTACGCAATCTAACCCAAATCCCCCCCCCCCCTATATTACGAACAATCCAAGATAAATAAATAAAAATATCATAAAGCTGTTAAGAGACTTACCCGATAAGCAAAACCGGCCAAGTTGATCAAAAAGGGGTTGGCCAAAACATGGGGACGGTCAAATCTGGCGCTAAACGGACATTAATAGATTTCTCAGGATGGCAGCTCACTTGCCTCAACAAGAGGGTGGTCCTGGGGAAATCAGGACAGGTCGCAACCCAACGTGTGGAACTTATGGGCACCCCACAGGCCGGACACAGCCGGCAACATCACATTGCACGCGGCCAAGAGGCCTACCGCTTCATGTGCCTCGCAAACCATGTTAGTAGTTGCCACTGCAAACATCTTAGCCGCACCAATCAGAGTTCTCATCACTTTCCAAAAGCCCGACATCGCATATTCTCTTATTCTAAACTAAAGTCAATTTACTTTACCAGGTAAGGCCCGCTGAGCTTTGGCTTGGCCTATCACAAACTCTAAATGCACGTCGATTTTAAATGGAGGGAAAAACCGGAGGACCCTGATAAAGATCCACGCGACCACGGGAAGAGAGACACGCAAACTCCAAATATACAGCAGCAGCAGGCGTCAGGGTCGGGATCGAACCCACGACCTCCTGTACACCAGGCGAGGTGGTTAACATCTCGCCACCGTGGCATCCCATATTCACTTGGGGGTTCACGAGGAATCTTCTCTCAAACCGAAACGCACAACATCGCTGCGATGTCGTGACACGTCCCCTGCGCTCTGGGCCCCAGAACGGGCGTCGACCGAGCGGTGATCGTCAGCGTCGCGGCCCCTCGCCGCCCCGTCGAGTCACCTCGGCCACGGGCGTCGCCGCGGTCGTGGCTCCGGGTAGGTGCCGCACATCAACGGCCACGTGCAACACGACAGGCTCTATCGCCCGGGCCGCCTTGTTAATCATTCGCCGATTCCGAGCAAAGAAGAACGTCAAAACGACGGCGGAAGTGGCAGCCGGGACGTAGAAGAATATCGTCCGTGCGTTGCCGCAACGGGAACGTTTCCCCCACGGTAATGATCGACCGGTGCCACGATGGGAGCCGCGTTGGGACAAAGTCAGCTCATGACGTCGTAGCGACGCAACAACGTCCCCGCGCTCCGGGCCCCACATTGGACGTCGGCCGACACGCGGTCATCGCGGGCCCCTCGCCGCCCCCCGTCGAGTCACCTCGGCCATGGGCGTCTCGTAGACGTCGTCGCCGTCGCCGTCGCGGTGCCGCCGGGACGACGGGTCTCCGTCTCCGAGCGCCGCGTCCCTCTGCAGCGAGCGCAGCGCTCCGGCGCCGGCGGCCGTGCCGTAGCGAGCCTCGAGCCGGGCCGGCGAGACGCGCTCCGCCCGCAGCAGCGCGATCACCTCGTCCCGCGCCTGCGTCATAACCGGGTGGTGAGCGGCGGTGAGCGGCGGTGAGTGGCGGGCAAGCGTTAGCGAGTCGCGCACGCGTGCAAGTACGTGGAGATCCCCGGTTGACGATACCGCTGCTGGAGCAGCGCGCCCGACAAAAGCCTGATGGGTGACACCCATCGTCACCGCCGCCACTGCCACCACTCTGCCCGGATTCGACCTTCTGCGGAAACAATTGGCAGCGCTTAACCGGATCGCCACACGCACACGCCACGGGAGATGTGGATGCCTGATGCACGAGCGGAAAATCAAAGACTCTCTCCCCTGTGTGCAACAGCAAATCATCAACCACGCAACGTCACACTGCCCCAAATAGGAACTTGAAGGCGGTGGGTGTATGGGTGGGCGAGTGAATGGGTGGGTGGGTGTGTCTGTAATTCACCAACTCTCAGACAAACCTGGCGAGCGGTATTGTTTAGCGAGCTGCGCTACGAACCCGGCGACCCGAGTTCGATTCCCGGTTCACGGCCAACACCGGTGACAATTATGTGAACCGGTCCTGGGCATCCCCTAGGTCGACTCAGCCTAAAATAAGTACCTGGTGTGGTGTGTAAATATCGCCACTACGGAGACAAAGGCGGTCGGGCGTGGTGCTGACCACCCGCCCCCTCGTGTACCGTTCCAGCCTTCAATAGGTGCTTGCTAACAGCACTTGCCCCAACAGTCTGTTAAGGCTATTTGGGGGGCCTTTGTCGATCTGCAATTCACTACAGTGGTACCTCGGTATACGTCGTTAATTCGTTCCAGAAGGTAGGAGGACTTATACCGGAAGTGACGTCTACCAAACGAATCTTTCCCATAAGAAATAAAGGGAAAGGAAAAGAATCCCTTCCAGAGTATAAGAAATTCTATTTTATATGGCATATTACACATTAATGGGGTGGTATAACATAAGTTAGACACTACTTATTTTTACTAAAATGCAATACATGCATTCATATAAATGCATCAATAAATTAAAATAAATTGAAATAAAAATATAGCAACGGTTGTGCACTGAACGAGATCTACCGGACAGGCAGACTGAGGAGCTGCGCTTTGTCTCAGCCGTGAACGGGGTCTACGCGGGTACGCGGTGACTCATCCCGACCCATACAAGTTCTAGCAAGCGTGTTGTATCCCAAAGCAAGACGTCGTATCCCAAGACATTATTTTCTCGTCAAAACACGACGTGTACCAAATTCGACGTATTCCAAAGCGGTCGTATACCGAGGTATGACTGTATCTCATAAACCAACTGAATGTCTAAACCACTCTAGAACTCTTGCTCCTCACCACAGTTGCTCTTCAGTGGCCATGTGAACCAACATGAGGACTGCTGGACAATGACCGCCCCCAACCCATGCCGTGCAGGTCGCGGGAGTTGGTTGACCTCACTTTGTCACGCTGGTCAGTGCGGGTTGGCGAGGAGGCGTGGGCCATAACTGGGCACAGAACTGGTTGGATAACCACTGAATACTCGTGGAGGTGGGGGTCAGAACTGGGCACAGAACTGATTGCATAACTACTCCCCACTGAATAATCGTGGAGGTGTGGGCCAGAACTGGGTACAGAGCTGGTTGGATAACCACTCACCACTGAATACTCGTGGAGGTCCCTGGGTTCCTGGTGCAGTTGCGAGTCTGTCGTTCCAATGTCAGTTCGTGGCTTTTATGGGTCTCTGTGAGAGTCTATGGGTCTCTATGTGAGTGAGTGACACAGCTATTCAGAGTGTGCAGGCAGGTGCAACTGCACCGGGGCCCGCAGGCCAGAGGGGCCCAAGCGCCGAGATACACAGAGTGGGGGGGGAGGGGGGGAGTTCACTTGGACATGGGGCCACCCCTATTTCATTCGTGGCACCAGGGCCTACGCCAACCACGCTGCACCACGCTGCGCCACGCTGCGCCAGGGCCCACAATGCAACACCGCCCACGCCAACCACGCTGCGCCATGACCTCACCTGAATCTCCCCTTCGAGGACGCTCAGCAGCTGCAGGAGGTTGCCACTCGACGGCCTCTGCCGTGCGTTCCCGGCGTCCTCTCCCTGGGCGCGATCGCTGCAGTCGTCGTCGTCGTCGTCGTCGCCGCCGCCGCTGCCGCGGCGACGCCGGTGCCGCCGCCGCTGTCGCTCGCGGTGCTGGTGGTGGTCGTCCCCGCCGCGGTGCCGGTGCCGCCTGCGCACCGTGTCGGTGTGCTCGCCGGCCACCGCCAACTCAGCCCAACGCTCGGCGAGGAAGGGAGCGGCGGCGTCTCCCCCCAGCTCCGCGCCGGTGCCAGCGCCGTCGCTGCGCCGCCGCCCTCCTCGCGGCACGTCCGGTGGCGTGGGGCTCGACGACTCGTCCGATTGGCTGGAGCAGGGGCGCTGGCTGCGGATCCCCGCGCGCTGCCGTGAGCGCGACCGGTGCGCCGATTGGACGATCTCGGAGCCGCTGCCGCTACCGCTGCCGCTGCCGCTGCCGCTGCCGGAGCGTGGCTGCGGGTGGCACGGAAGTGGACTGCTTGGTTTGCTTAGACAGGTTTCCCTCGCTCTATGCGGTGGTGGTGGTAGTGGCTTTTCAAAAAAGGGCGCGAGCAAAGCGAAGCCGCACGAGGAGACAGCTGCCTGCCGTGTAGCGAGCAAAGTACACAAACAATGTCTCTCCGTGTGTTAGCATCTGTGTATGCATCTCTATGGAACTCTATTTGTGTGTACGTATCTCCGTATGTGTGTGTATATCTGCGCATATCTGTGTGAGACAGCTGCCTGCCTAGTAGCACATACAAAACACATGCAATGTTGTTCCAAGTCCGACCGCATAGCCGCGTGCGAGTGAATTCAAACCTCATAATGGAGCGAATTTTGGGTAGAAATAGGTTCGCCGCCTGGACGGCATGAAATCGCACAAACCGAACCCGCGTAGAGCGAGGGAAACTTTTACATAGCGCCGCCACTACCACACCACCGCCATCATCATCTTCATCAGCAGCTCCGTAGCCCAAATACAGCAGGGCAGCCTCTTTCCCCCGCCAGTCACGGGTATATTTAGCCGTCGGTCAGCGCTTCTCTCCGCCTGCTGAAGGTGTTGGTACCCAACAACACAACTAAGCAGTGGCGTCAACGGACGTTGCCGCGATGTAATGCTTGGCGCACCGGGCTTGCAATCCGGAGCCCACCTCTGTCCACCACAAGCAGGCATCGCCGGGCACGGCGCAGTTAGTGGATTGGCAGATCCCGCGTGCACGGTGCGGTTGCGGTAAAATGTGGATACTCCCCACCCCCCTCCGACACGTTTGGCCAGCGTGGAAGAGTAGGCCAAAGACCCTCTGGAGGAGGATTTCTAGTGCTCGTTTTGGTGCAGGCAGGAGCACGAGCAGCCAATCACAGGCCTGCACCTTCGGCAGCCTAAGCGGCCTGGTGTGACGCCCGCTGTGTTTTAGCCGCCGGGTGATGAGCGGTGGCGGTGGCCCAGAGATTACGCGACCGGGCGAGTGTGGGATAATATTACTTTCATGTTCTATTGTTTTATTCATGCTTATAGCATCCCTATAAAGCTGTACATGAGGACCAACCCCCATATAAAGCCACTACTACCAAGCAAATCAAAACCCTGCTACTACCAAGCAAAATTTTTAAATGAATAAACAAATTAATAAATGACACTAAAACGAAAAGCACAAACAACAAAGCAGTTATCGCAACAAAGAGCTGAGTCCATGAGGTCTCCTACGCATGCCAGACCACAATCACAAACTTCCAAACAAAGCCAGGAGGATGAGGAGGAGCAGCGATTGAGTGACCAAAAAAGCCACCGCTCATTCATATCAATCAGTCCAATGTCCAAAAAAGTGATGACCTGTTTTTCGGGGTACGCCCGGATGAATTAAAAAATGCCTTTCGTTCCGCGAGTCTCACACGGCATTCTGATATAACTGGGGCGAGCGCCCCAATTTGGTGAGATATGTACCATAGATTCCTGGAACACACGCACACTCGCACGCACGACCTGGCACACTTATGTAACAAAGATCCCCCGTGTAGCATACACAGGCTGTTGGGACACGTGCCGTTCGCGAGCACCTTTTGAGGCTGCCACGGAGCATGAAGCGGTGTGGGTGTCATAATGCCCGTCCGCCTTTGTCTCCCCTGTGCCCATGTTCTCAAACCGCACCAGGTACTCATATTCGTCACTGTTGTTGGTTGCGAGCAGGAATCGAACTCGCGTCCCCGGGTACGTGCCACGGTGCGCTCACCACTACGCTACCACTCCCCTACCACCCCACAAAGACAAACATCCCCCGTATAGCCTTAACAGACTGTTGGGGCAAATGCTGTTAGCAAGCACCTATGAAAGTCGGCACGGCACACGAGGGGGTGGGTGGCCAGCACCACGCTTGACCAGTGGCGACGTGTACATGTCGCACCAGGCACTAATATCAGGCTCGGTCGACCTAGGGGAGGCCCAGGACCGATTCAGATAATCGTCACTGGTGTTGGTGGCCGTTATTGTGAATTAAACTTGGGTTTGTGCCGCAGTGCGCGAACCACTACACTGCCACTCCCCCCAACCAACAATCGCCATTTGCCACTAAGTGGCGGTGACGTCACCACGGCACGTGTGCCAGGCTATGTGCACATTAAGGCCACGTGAAGTGTCAAACGCCCGCTGGCAGGAGGTCATGGGGCAGACAAGAGGTGCCATGGGTCGACTGACTGAGATGACTGGCCGATACACCACCTGTGCCCCCTACTGTACCAACTTGTGTTTTAGCTGCCCAGCGCTCCGCTCGTTGTTGTGAGCATCGTTCCTCTGCCCTCAGTTGTTGCTGGAGGGTGACTGCCTCCAACTGTCCAGTAGCAGCGTCCTTCACCAGCCTCCTCAACAGAGGCCGATCTTGACACCGCTGGTACCAGTCACCGGCAAGTCCACTCAGCTCCACATCTTCTTGTACCACATCACTCCATCTCCTCTCTAGCCCGTGCCGTGCCCGTTGAGCCCCCCTCTATCCGGCTGAACAAAAGCTGTTTAGGCATGCGGTGGCTGGGCATGTAGGCTACATGACCCAACCAATGCAGCCTTGTCTGCCGGAGGAGCTCACCGATGGGACTTTGTCCAGATCATTCAGGGATTTGTTGAGCTCACACAATCCAGCCTGGTTAAACCCAGGATGGATCGTAGGCAGGCCAGCCTAAATGTTTCTTTCTGACAAAGATGTTCCATTAGGGGGTCCATGTTTTGCAAGCATAAAGGGAGGGCATGACCATGTCTGAGAAGACCCGAAGCTTGTGTGGAGCGACAGACCAGGTAGCTTCCAAAATGTGTTACACAGCCGATGAAAAGATAATGCCGCTCGATTGATTCAGAGTGAGACCTCTGCTGTCAAACCGGAGCCGGTCATTAACACACTGCCCAGGTATGGAAACTCTCCACTCTCTCCACAACTGCCCCATCACTAATTGGGAGTTTACCAAGAAGGAGCCATCCCATGACCGCACCCGGGCATCGATCAGCCTCCCACCAGTACAGCCATCGCAGGCTTCACAGACTATGTCGTCGAAATAGATGTTAAATAATGTGGGAGCCAGAGGACATCCCTGTCGCACCCCAAGGTGATCAGGGAATGGCTCTGATTCCCGGAAACATAGTTTCACCCGGGCCTGCTCACCATCATGAAGGTCCTTAATGATTGTGAGCAGAGAGTTAGGGACTCTGAAAGCACGAAGAACAACCCAGAGCCCAAGCCTACTGATGGTATCATAGACCTTGACCAGGTCAATAAAGCAGAAGTGTAGGGCTTGTTGGATTCCCTACACCTCTGCTGTAGCAGACAGACAGAAAATATGGCATCTTTGCAGGATCACCCTTTCCTGAAGCCACATTGGGGCTCTGCAAGCCTCTCTTCAGCGTGCCTGGCAAGGCAATGTTGAATAAACCTTGCCAGGACCTTTCCCGGCACACTGAGGACTGACATATTACAGTCTGTGCGGTCCCCCTTGTTAAAGATGGGAACCACCAAGGCATCCTTCCAATCCTGTGGAACCCATCCAGTGGTCCACACCACCCCAGCTACACACACACACCTGTGTTCTCACACACACACACCTGTGTTCTCACACACACACCTGTGTTCTCACACACACACCTGTGTTCTCACACACACACCTGTGTTCTCACACATACACCTGTGTTCTCACGCACAAACCTGTGTTCTCACACACACACACCTGTGTTCTCACACACACACCTGTGTTCTCACACACACACACCTGTGTTCTCACACACACACCTGTGTTCTCACACACACACCTGTGTTCTCACACACACACACCTGTGTTCTCACACACAAACCTGTGTTCTCACACATACACCTGTGTTCTCTCACACACCTGTGTACACAGACGGATGTACACCTTAATGTAGTGCTTCATTTTAGTCGGAAAAGTCCGGAACGCTGTTTAAATAAAAAAAAACATCGGCATGCCACACCTGTCTCTCCTTATTTTGTCCTCATTTCGTTCATAAGAAAGTGAGATTTTGGAGTGAATTACTCTCTCAACATCCAGGCCACTTTACCGAACACAATATCAATCGTCACGGTTCACGAGACAGCTTGATTTGTTTGGCCGTGTCCGGTACCAGAGGGTGTACGGCAGTGCACTTCATTCATACAACGACGAAGACAGACCCCCCACCCACCCACCCCAGAGGCTCAATGACGCTGATGTTGTTGATGATGATAATGCTAATACAGGCGACAGTGATGTCAATGCCGCTGATGACACCGCAACAACTGATGGTGGCAATGTCAATGCCGCTGCTAATGAAGATGGCCATGTTTTTGTTTATTGTAGTACGGAGTTAGACTGATGGCCTTAATCTTAGTTTTCTTGTGGTTGTTGTTGTTTGACTTGCATCCCACTGGGATTTTTGCACACAGCGTTGGTGTACGGTGCTATCTCAGGAATATTTTGATGTTTTTTTCTCCTGGATTTTCTGTTTGGACAGTCACATGATCACTTTAAGATGTTTTCTTGTTCATGTTTTTTGTTTGTTGCGGTTGCACCCGATTCAAGAGCCGAATGGCTCACAGGGCTATACCAAATAAATGGAGCTATGAGCTATAATAAAGGGAGCTATTTTCAAAATGTGAGAATCGAAGATCGTACAGATGTATTGATGTACTGCATCGCGAGATGCAGTACATCAATACTGCATCGTACAGATGTATTGATGTACTGCATCGCGAGATGCAGTACATCGTTACATCCGCAACAGCCGTTATCATTCACACGAGTCTTACTGAGTTCGCGTGTGTTCCTGTACACTAGTGTTCCTCACACATTTTCAGAGAGCGGGGGGGGGGGGCACTTTCGCCGATAAGACCTCATCAGTGTGTGAGGGCCGACACACATTTGAAACCATTGGGTAGTTTGACAGCAGCACGATGATGATGGGAGGGTGTTTTCACTTGTGATTGTCGGTGGTTGCACGTCAG